ACAGTTATCTCAAAGATAATTCAGAGAACTTGTTTTCAGCTGAGCTGAGAGCTTTTAGCATAAGGCTGGAACACCATAAAATGTGAAAAAGTTAAACAGCCTGAATACTTTCTGAGCCCACTCTATTATCAAAATACAATTTTTTTTAATAATAGAAAAAGTATCCAAAAATTCAAAACATAAGTGGTAATACAATACAGTTACTCACATTTAGATTTTTAATTTATCCTTCTGCAAGCTTGTTTAAAATGTTCCCAAATATGATCTAATATAAAAGATGTGCCCCAGAGACAGATCCCCAGCAAAGACCATGTCACTTAGATGGCCATCGGGACAAGACCACAGGAACCAGATGACTCCTCTGCACAATCTGGCTTTGCTGCAGCCTGGAATTAAACTGTTGGTTTCGTCTGGCCAGAGGAGAACTGGCCCCCTGACTGAGCCTGGTTTCTCCCAAGGTTTTTTTCTCCGTTTCTGTCACCGATGGTGTTTTGGTTCCTTACCGCTCTCGCCGCTGGCTTGCTTAGTTGGGGACACTTAAAATCTTTAACTTGATTGCACAGATACTTTTTGAACTGAACAGAGCTGGATGATGACATCATTGAATCAATGATGAACTGACTAAAAATGGAGAATTTACTATTGTCCTTTTGCATTATTACGCACTGTTTTCCTATTTAATACTGTAAAGCTGCTGTGACACAATCTGTATTGTTAAAAGCGCTTTATAAATAAAGGTGACTTGACTTGACAATCTAACTAAAGGGCTATAATAACCACAACAAATTTTTACACAATTTAATCAATGTCCATCATAGAGTCTGCATTTAGACTTTATGGTTATATTGGATTGAAAACATACCTTTCATGAGCAGCTTCACTTCATAGCAGGTTTTATCATTCACTCTGCACTGATACCACAATTCATCAATGCATCTCTTATAAGCAGAGATCCGTTCTTTAGTTGTCTCGCTCTATTATACAAAGGCTTCAGGAGTTTTTCTGTGCTGCTTGATGGCTTGTTTGGATGGCGCTATTGGGTTATTTCTGTTGATTGGTGACCATTAACATCTTTCCAAGTGACTCGTTCAGTTCTGTTTTGTAGAGGATGTTCAGAGCATGGCAGCAACACAGATGAGCCTGGTGTTGGATGGACAAAGTCCAATGTTTTACACTCTGAAATCAAAGAAACATACTACATTATAGTAGGTTACTTTGGGATTATTTGCTTATTTCAGAAATTTGCATTCTTACCTTAATATTCTTATTCTTTCTATTAAGTTTGTGGGGTTACCATTATGCAGAAGAGTAGAGCTTGTGGTTAGGAAGAGACTGGCCAAACATTGTCAAATTATGTTACTTTGTTTAAAAAGAATTGTTGTGCCCTTGTCAGCTCAATGACAGTCTATTCAGCAAGTACTTTAGTATGAGCAGGATGTGCTTATGCTATTATAATCTATCTATATTTTAAAATGAGAAATGCATATTTCCATATATGTGTGTATATACTGCATGATTAAATATATGTTCAAGCCAAGGTGCATATTATCTTATCACATCTACATCTATATAATATAAAGTGTATTACTGAATATAAAATTATATATAGTGTGATATATAAGATATTGTCACATATTTTTCAATATATGAAAATGGCAATTCCTTATGTATTATTAATCAATATATTGTAATATATTTACACAATATATTACTCTGTCTCATTTCTATTATACAGTTATGTCATTTAATATATTGAACATTCATATATTAGGAAATATATTTTCTTTGCGAAAGGTACCTTTGACCCTCAGGTTAAATAGAGTTGAATGAAGGCAGTCCTGATCCTTGTAGACCTGACAGTCATAAAAGCCATCATCAGGTAATCTGATGTCTTTCAGATCAAGTGTAACATTTCCAACATCTTTCCTCACAGACCATCTCTGGTGCTCTGATGCTGGAGAGATGTCTGGATATATCAGGATGTCTTTATCTTGGTTTTTCTTGTGTAGTTTGACTGTTAGAGACTCCAGCGGGTGGGTTGTGGTTAGGCAAGAAATAGTCATGCTGTCACCCTGAACACAGTTTATGTTCAACTGATGAACCTGCTCGCAGCGTCTCTGTGTCGCCACTGAAAGGAAATGAAGAGTAAAATTAGACAATGCACTGAGAGAACAGAGACGTGAAAACCACCACATCACTTACAGTAACAAACAGCATTTACTTTTTATTATGCGTAACTGGTAACTCTACTTTTTTAACTGGTTCTACTTCTACATGCATCAATACATTTTAGGAAATGAGAACAATACATTTTAGTGAAAAGCTACAGAGAATACGGTTGAAAAAAAAGTGTAAATTCAAGTAGTAAGTTGTGTTCAGCAGTGTTTAGTAAAGCCGTGGGAGAAATGGTAACTTGTCAGACTTCCAAAAGGGCAAATCATTGAAGCCTGCAGGAGCATCTGTAACATTCACAGCCCAATTATTTGGTGTTTAAGAACAGAAGCCTTTACACTGCTTTAAAAGCCTTTATCACTGTGTACACAAAGCTTGGCAAGACATCTGTGAAAACGAAAATTGGTCAAAACTGAAAGTGAGTGATAGAGACCGTCAAACACTAAGAAGGACTGTCTAAACAACACAGAACGTCTCGGTTACGTATGTAACCCTCGTTCCCTGAAGGAGGGAACGGAGACGTCACGTCGGAGGACCGACGAAATTGGGATCTCGCTTAGAGGGACCAATCTACTTCGAGTGTAAACTAACCGCAAAGGGACAGAAAACCTCAGTATTCACTTTGAGGACACAGAGAACTTCATAAAGCAAATATCCACGAAAGAGCAGAAACTGCTAAAACTTTAATCAGACACTGATGCTAAAATGGGGGAAAAGATGGTGTCATAATCATAAGTCCTGGACAGTTGGAGAACCAAGATGACAGACAGATCACCTGACTAGAATATTATCAAAGATGTTTGACTGGAGACTATACCAAAGTTGTATAAATCTGTTCTAAGAAGGTTGCAAGGTGTATAAAAGGGAAAGGGTTGTTTAGTAAAAAAAATAAAAAATACTGCGTATTTCCCATGTGTTCGCATTATTTTGTCCACCCGCTGTATATAGTCCTTACATACACATTTTCTACAAATGTATTATCTGAACTCCCTGTGAAGCAAAAAAACTAGTGACATTGCCAGTGTAATATTGGTTGAGTCATGCCGTTTAAACTTTGTACACAAATGTTTATTAAAACTGTCCAGTAACATTTTCTTACTTTAAAAACTCATATATCTTAATACAAACAAGAGGTTAACAGCAACGTCCAAATTGCAAGTCCACTATGTAACATGAATGACAACATTTGAATCATTATTACTGCAGTGTTTCTATAATACTGCTTTGAAACAAAGTCCACTTTGAAAATTGCTAATTTGATTTCATAACAATGACCTTACCTTTGCATTCAAATAAAGCTGCTATTAGAAGATAAAGTAGTAGTAGGAAATATGAAGACTGAAAACTCATCATATACAGATGCTCACAGCTGAACTCTATATGAGCACAGGCCACATCACTTCACTTTCACAGAGTTGTTTTCAGTTACTCTAAATTTAATGCGGAAGTACTGTAGGAAACATGGTCTAATTCTGTGCTCAAGTAGGCCTTATAATAGAAAGCTGCTATTAGAATATTTAGAAGATGGAAATATGAAGACTGAAAACACCTCATTACATCACATGACATTTCAAATAGCTCACTGCAAAACAACTGAATATGAGCTCAAGCCACAAGACCTTTTACATTCATAAAACGGTTTGTGATCTGGGTAAAATGCAAGAGACATACAATTTTGCACACATTTCAAATCAACTAGCTACATGATTTTATGATGAAAAACAATATAATATATTCAACATAATTAAAGATATAAACTTGGCCAGAAAGTTTTAAAAATGTTTGGTGTTTAGTACTGTCGCTTTTGTACCAGTTGTACCATATGTCCATGACACACATCAGCTACAAAGCTGATGTGTGTCACCAGTTGTACCATATGTCCATGACACACATCAGCTTTGTAGCTGATGTGTGTCCTGGACATATGGTACAACTGGTACAAAATACAAGTGCACCATAAGCACACTATAAAAACACAATGGAGAGGAACTACTAAAGTACTGGATGTAGTTCTGATAGAAAAGGTTTTACTTTGATTTGATCAGTGCTTAATGCAAATTCTATTACAAATAAATACAAAATACATGTACATAAATCATTCTCATTTACTTTGGAACAAGAACAATTACAAACAAATAATTATTAGATTTACAAGGCATTGTAATGGTGTACCATTCACATGAATCAGATGCTGTGTGCATAGATAAAGTCCTGTAGATGTAGACGAGAACAGGCAGCTTGGCATCAAAAAATGAGTTAATGTGTCTGCTAGAGGATTATGAGACGACTATGGTAGAAAATATCAGTTATTTCAGCTACTTTATATAATATTTGCTTCAATATTATACATTAAAAAACAGTAGATCATGTGCTGGTAAACTAACAAAATAAACAAAATAAATCATTTTCATTGTTTTACCATCAGGAATGAACAAACGCTGATTTGTCTTTTAGCCTGTCGGTTATCGATTAATAATTTTGGTGGAAACAGAAACACTAGCTGTGCTTTCACCTAAAAAATATACAATAATTGCATAACAGAAAAGACAGAATTTCACAGTGCAGTTGATTCAGAAACGCTCTGCTGTTTTATAATGCTAAATTACACTTGCTACAGGTACATCAGCACTGAACTTGAATCTCATTCTTTAAGTTCAGCATTTGTACGAACATAGCAGTAAAGTAAGTATGGCTGAAATGCAAATGTCTTTATTGTGATTATGTTGTATTTTAGCATCACTGATGCATCTGTGTAGTGCTGGTTCACTCGTACCTGGAACTTACTCATCATTTTCATTGTTTTACCATCAGGAATGAACAAACGCTGATTTGTCTTTTAGCCTGTCGGTTATCGATTAATAATTTTGGTGGAAACCGAAACACTAGCTGTGCTTTCACCTAAAAAATATACAATAATTGCATAACAGAAAAGACAGAATTTCACAGTGCAGTTGATTCAGAAACGCTCTGCTGTTTTATAATGCTAAATTACACTTGCTACAGGTACATCAGCACTGAACTTGAATCTCATTCTTTAAGTTCAGCATTTGTACGAACATAGCAGTAAAGTAAGTATGGCTGAAATGCAAATGTCTTTATTGTGATTATGTTGTATTTTAGCATCACTGATGCATCTGTGTAGTGCTGGTTCACTCGTACCTGGAACTTACTCATAAGGAACATAAGGAAATAAGTGTGTTATGAAGAGCTGGAGTCTAAACAGAGATTGAAATATAATCTCTTTCTTCAAACTAAAACTTGATTTTCCTCCTTAGATGCATGTTTTGAACTATTACCTGTATTTCTCTTTGTATTGCTATGCTACATTATAGTTACATATACTTTTTATTTTTTTCTTCCCCCATTCAGATGACTTCTCTCTCTCTCTCTCTGCTAACTGGATTTTTGGAGAAATGTTCTCGGCTGTGTTCATTTCCTCTTCTAATACCCTGATATCCTTCATCTCCCATCAGCCTCTTTTAACACACTCCTAATGAAATCATCAGTGCTCATAATCGGTCACAGGACCCTTAAAACAAAATTAAATCCTGTTTCTTTCCCTCCATCTCTGTTAATTCACTTTATTCAAAGTTCTTATTTCTTCTATTAACCCCTAATTACTTAAACTAAAAAAATGTCTCAAATTGTATTTGCTAACCTGAGCTGAGGTGAAATTCAGTTTCTAAACGTCTTCAACTCTGAACTGATCTCCTCTAAAAAGGTATTTGTTTATAATAAAGGGATCATTAAGGGCTTTTCTCATAAAAGTCTCTAAAGTGGAACTGATGTCTAGATAAATAAAGCCATGTCTGAAATCTATTTGACTCACTGACAGTGAAAATGTCAGGTGTCTCAAAGTGTGTGAAAAGCTGTCGTTCTGTTTTATAGATGCTTTAACCTTAGATTGTATAATCTGATTTATAATTATGGTGCTGTGGCATGGCAGTTATAGCCCAAGAGTGGGAATTTTAGAGCAGCACTGAAGTTATTGCGTGTCCATGAATGAAGCCTCAATGAAGAGGAATACCAGATTCCTCTCTCGGTCTTCAGCAGGAACTGGTCTGTAGGTTGCTCTCGGTGAGGATGGAGGTTATGCTGGAATGATCATACAATCCATCATCATCATCATCATCAGAGCTGAGCACTGAAGACTCCAGAGCTGACTGTCTGACCTGCTGGATCTTCCTCCTGAGGGGAAAAAACAATACTATTTAACAGCAGAGTCTAAGAAAAAAATATTTTAACAAATTTGACAAATTCTTGTGTAATTATTAAACGTTAGGGGTGTAACGGTACACATATTCATATCGAAAATTTTCGGTATGGGTCTTTCGTTTCGGTACGCATGTGTGTTGAACAAATCGTTCCAATTTTTTCAGGAAATTCAGACAATAATTGCCGTTTTGGTGCTCTGTGATGTGACATGACAGATGTATAAAAGCTGTATAATCGCCTCAGTTCTAACGGCAGCACGGGGCGCGATCATCCCTTCCTCTTTATTACTAGTTTTAAAGAGAAGTAAACATGAATGAACATCTCACACCTCACATAATCGCTCAATTAGTGTTTCAACCGTTTAAAGACGTCATTAAAACAGCTTGTAAACAAAATGTCACGTAGCATTTCATTTACTTCAGGCAAGTCAGCAGTGTTTATAGCTCATTATTTGCTAGAGAAATGAAGTCTAGTGAAGAGCATTTTGCGAAATATTAGACTATATACTTCATTATATTTCACTTTACCTGCTGGTGATGTCTTAATCATTTAATGTATGTTTAAATAAATCTTTTATGAAACAAGTTATGGCAGCCACTGTGTAAATGATTATATTTCAACAACAAATTGAAATTGTATAATTTAGAAGTTAATTTAAAAACTGCATTATGTGCAATTTACATGTTTGCATACAATTTTTTTTCATTTGAGTGTTGATTATTATAGTTGAAAATAAATAGTAATTGAATTTAAGTTTGGCCTAAATAATTAAATAATCTTCTGAACCCTCAAGAAATGGCTCAATGTTTTCGATGGATAAAATAAACTTCTAGACGCAAATGTAACGGATGACTGACATGTCACAAGTTATTCCCCCACTCAGCTCACAAAACAGCAAACCAGCCATAACTGCTCTTTATAAACAAAAAGCTTATTTATATGAAAAAAAAAAGGAAATACTACACCATTTTCTCCTCTCAGTCAAACACACATACTTGAGTTCATTCTCTAGTGCCGTGACTTTGGACTGCAGCGCCTCCTTCTGTTCCTGCATCTCCTCCATGTCTCTGATGGCCTTCCTTCTCAATCCCTCCAGCCGCTCCGCCTCGGCCTCTCCTTCATCCACCTGCCTCTTCAGAGCCTTCACACGCAGAGTCAGCTGAAGAAGCACACATGCATTAAACACACATACTCTCACACGCAGATCTTCACACACACTGCTCTATACGAGCACATGTACTGTGACGTGTGTATTCTTCACCTGGTCTCTCTGCTCTGTGTGCTGATGTCTCTCCTCATCCAGGGTGATGTTCAGCTCCTTTAGTTTCCTCTCCAAACGCCTCTGAGAGGACAGCACAGAGTTCTTCTCTCTGTAAAAACACACAACTATATGCTTGAACCTCAGGACTTCCTAAACTTGACATGTACTGAATTTTTGTCTTATTGTTCAGGTGATGCAGTGAATTTTTGTTTATTTATTTAATGAAATTATTTATCCTGGCGCATATACAAATACATAGCTACAATAAAATGTTAAACTTTTTTGGTAAAGTCAGTGAAAATATTGGCAGAGCAAATTAAAATCTAATCAGGCAAATAAATCTACTGACATTTCCCCCAGTGTTATTTTATAAAAAAAAATTAAGCATCCAAAATTAGTAGTAGTTTTAAAGTAGAAGCAGTAGTTTTTGCAAACCGCTTTATGGCCTGCATTGTCTACAGTCTGTGTATTTTCTAGCAGCATAAAGTGCTTTCAATTAAAGAAGAGTGCTTTTCTATCTAACTCAAGCTCCAGGTGCTTGATTTTGTCCTGCAGGTGGAGACATAGAATGAAGACAGAGTGTTACCACATCATCACTATCTCCATTACACCATTTCACTAAAACAACAGATGTGAAGGTGAAACACACTTCCAAGCTGCGGATCTCTCGCGAGCGGTCGTTTTGTGTGGTACGCTGTGTCTCGATCTCACTCTCCATATGTTTGAGGCGGTTGGTGAGCATCTCTGACATGTTTTAATTAAGAATTAAAAAAAATCTTACCAACCCCAAACTTTTGAATGGCAGCGTACCTGATCTCGGCTCCTGGTGATTCTTTCTGTCAGCATCTCTGCATTGTTCTTTTCCTCATCTAACTCAAGCTCCAGGTGCTTGATTTTGTCCTGCAGGTGGAGACATAGAATGAAGACCACATCATCACTATCTCCATTACACCATTTCACTAAAACAACAGATGTGAAGGTGAAACACACTTCCGAGCTGCGGATCTCTCGCGAGCGGTCGTTTTGTGTGGTACGCTGTGTCTCGATCTCACTCTCCATATGTTTGAGGCGGTTGGTGAGCATCTCTTTATCTAATAAAGCATTGTCTCGATCCTCATAACTTGATAACAGCTCTTTCTTTTGACGGGCCAACTAAAAACAAGCAAAATTGAATGACCACAAATTGAAGCATCTCTGCATTGTTCTTTTCCTCGTCTAACTCAAGCTCCAGGTGCTTGATTTTGTCCTGCAGGTGGAGACATAGAATGAAGACCACATCATCACTATCTCCATTACACCATTTCACTAAAACAACAGATGTGAAGGTGAAACACACTTCCGAGCTGCGGATCTCTCGCGAGCGGTCGTTTTGTGTGGTACGCTGTGTCTCGATCTCACTCTCCATATGTTTGAGGCGGTTGGTGAGCATCTCTTTATCTAATAAAGCATTGTCTCGATCCTCATAACTTGATAACAGCTCTTTCTTTTGACGGGCCAACTAAAAACAAGCAAAATTGAATGACCACAAATTGAAAATTTGAATTAAAAAATTTTGGATTTTTATGAGGCCAGCGTTGCACCTGTTCCTGTAGGGAATGGATGGTGCTCTGTGCTCTCTCCAGCTCACTGAGCTTCTCTTTGGTGTTTTTATGTAAGTCATGCTGCTCTTTCCTCCACTTCCCTTTCTGTTCATCCAGCTGAGCCTGCAGGAGCCGCACCTCCTCACGGGATTCTGCAGACAAGCGCTCCATCTGACATGGAGAAACAGAGGAAAAGGGGTGTGAGGAAGCAAGAGAGAGATAAGGACAGACAGAAAGTAAAATGATGCATGGCGGATTCAAATTTGTGTCAATGAACGCATACCTCTTTATTGAGTTTGTCTAGTGCTCTCTCCTGCTGCCTCTTCTGGTCCTCGAGCTGTGTGTACTCCTTGCGGACAGCATCTCTGTCCTTCTCCTTCTCTTCAAGATTACGAGCCAGCTCGTCCCGCTCTACACCCAGTCTGGAGTTCTCATGCCTGGACTCCTCCAGCTGCTGTCTCAGTTTCCTGGTCTCCTCCTGCTGCTCCTGTTCAGCCTCAATACTCTGAGACGTGCGCTCCTGCAGCTGAGACTACAGACACACAGATAATGCGTCAGAGAAAAAGAGAGAACAAACAGATAACTGTCTGTTTTTGAATGCATGAAATCAGCTAGTGATCTCAAAAGTGCAAGAAAGGATCATAATACAATAACTTTTAAAGTTTTTAAACATTAAAGTATTAGTTCACCTCCAGAATAAAAATGTGCTGATAATTTCTTAACCCCCATGTCATCCAAGATGTTCATGTCTTTCTTTCTTCAGTCGAAAAGAAATTAAGGTTTTTGAAGAAAACATTCCAGGATTTTTCTCCATATACTGGACTTCAATGGGAGCCAATGGGTTGAAGGTCCAAATTGCAGTTTCAATGCAGCTTCAAAGGGCTCTACACGATCCCACCTCAAGAATAAAGGTCATATCTAGTGACACTATTGGTCATTTAAAATATACAGTGGGTACGGAAAGTATTCAGACCCCCTTAAATTTTTCACTCTTTGTTATATTGCAGCCATTTGCTAAAATCATTTAAGTACATTTTTTTTCCTCATTAATGTACACACAGCACCCCATATTGACAGAAAAACACAGAATTGTTGACATTTTTGCAGATTTATTAAAAAAGAAAAACTGAAATATCACATGGTCCTAAGTATTCAGACCCTTTGCTCAGTATTTAGTAGAAGCACCCTTTTGATCTAATACAGCCATGAGTCTTTTTGGGAAAGAGGCAACAAGTTTTTCACACCTGGATTTGGAGATCCTCTGCCATTCCTCCTTGCAGAGCCTCTCCAGTTCTGGCAGGTTGGATGGTAAACGTTGGTGGACAGACATTTTTAGGTCTCTCCAGAGATGGGGGTCTGAATATTTTCCGTACCCACTGTATATATATATTATTTACATACTGTTTAACCACAAATGCTCGTTTTACACTAGCTCTGCAGTGCATATGCGTGACTTCACGCATTACATAATAACGTTGGAAAGGTCACAAATGGTTAGTTCTTTCCCTAAGTACTTCAGTTCAAAAAGATAGGTTAGCGCGAAAATCTCATTTTCTCCTCCAACCTCGAAATTGGCCAAAAAAATGTTTAAGAAAATGACCAATCATTTCACTAGATAAGACCCTTATTCCTCAGCTGGGATCATGTAGAGCCCTTTGAAGCTGCATTGTTACTGCAGTTTGGACGTTCAACCCATTGGGTCCCATTGAAGTCCACTATATGGAGAAAAATCCAGGAATGTTTTCCTCAAAAACCTTAATTTCTTTTCAACTGAAGAAAGAAAAACATGAACATCTTGGATGACATGGGGATGAGTAAATTTTTTCTGGAAGTGTTCACTGAAAGCCATCTTTTTCTTCCTTCATAAGATGGCAATAAGTCACTTTCCAAAACCTTTACCCTCTCTGTTCCCCTCTGGTGTAATGTGCTGCCAACCTCCACCTGAGCCCCCAAAAGTCCAGACCATCACATCTTTTAAAATGCAGCTGACTGAAAGCACTTAACCACCTCACACTCTCAAACCAATGCACTTACACACACATTTATTGTAGTTTAATAAGAGGGAAAATAAGGTGCATCATTACATAATTATGTTAATCTGCATCCTAACCTCCAGGCGTATGATTCTCTCCCTCATACGCGCATTGGCTTCCTCGAGTTCCTTGTGCTCATGTGTCAGATTGTTTACTTACTAATCCTTTAAGTTCACTGAGAGCCATCTTTTTCTTCCTTCATAAGATGGCAATAAGTCACTTTCCAAAACCTTTACCCTCTCTGTTCCCCTCTGGTGTAATGTGCTGCCAACCTCCACCTGAGCCCCCAAAAGTCCAGACCATCACATCTTTTAAAATGCAGCTGACTGAAAGCACTTAACCACCTCACACTCTCAAACCAATGCACTTACACACACATTTATTGTAGTTTAATAAGAGGGAAAATAAGGTGCATCATTACATAATTATGTTAATCTGCATCCTAACCTCCAGGCGTATGATTCTCTCCCTCATACGCGCATTGGCTTCCTCGAGTTCCTTGTGCTCATGTGTCAGATTGTTTACTTGGGTTTGAGCAGAGCTGAGTTTGTCTCTCTCTGCCTGCAGCTCTTCTTCAGTTGAGAGCAGCTGACTGCGCAGTCTGCTCACCTCTTCTTGCATGTCACTCAACTCCTTGCGCAGGGCCTCCACCAATGAAGGTTCTGCTAGCTGCCGGAGGTAAATAAAAATCGTAAGTAAAAAACGAACAGATGGTACCTGCTTTGATGCCGTAATACTGTATGTTACCTGTTTGGCCTTCTCGTGAGCTTTAGTCAGCTCTTCTTTATCTCTGCATGACTGGTCCCTCAATCTGTCAATCTCATATTTCTGCTCTGCTTCAAGTTCCTGTTTGCTCTTCTTTAATAACACAATTTCCATTGTCTTCTTGTCAAGATCTGTTCTTAATTTATCCATATCTGCCTGGGCCTTCTGTAGGTCAGCATGACAACGCTCAAGTTCCTATAAAAATACAATGAGTATTTTAAGTCTTGAAAACTTTTATTAATTTAACATTTATAAGCAAAAGAGCGTGTATATACCTGGTTGACTGTCTGGGTCTGTTTGGGATCTGGGATCTGCTGTTTCATTGTGTTGATTTTCTCCTGCAGATCTTTCAGCTCCTCCTCAAACTCCTCTTTCTCCATACGAGCCTGGAGTAACCTAACACACACACACGTATATATACACACATAATACAAACACAGACAAACACCATATGCAAAACACAAAACAGCTAAACCTTAAGTGTTTAATAACAAATATGCACACAGTGAATAGCAGCGATTAAAATGTCCTAAATGAGAACTTATTGTAATACGATTGAACTCCTAATATTTCCTGAAGATGTTAATATGGGTGGTCAAACTATTGATTTAGTGTCAAGATCCAAGATCCATAATGTGAAAGTAATGTTGCTTATGTGCATTTTTTATTGGACTCTGTCTCAATTAATGGTACCATCTTGCTCTGTTACAGAAAGGCCATTCAGAGATGGAAAAATTAGTTTGGTGTATTTAAGTTGGAAGATTAGCAGCATCTTTTCTGAAAGAAAATAACAAGCGGCAGGATTTTATTTCTTAATGATGCAGAGTATTTGTGATGATTAACTAGTGATGAGGTAATTAGAGTTGCCATACAGAAGGTATCATGATTTTCTGTAATGTTTAGGGTTTGAATCAGCTCACTCTCTCTTGTTTGCAGCTTGTCCAGAACTCAGCTGCCAGACTTTTAACAAGTACAAAGGGGAGAGAGCATATTACTCCTGTGTTAATCAAACTGCATTGGTTACCTGTACGATATAGAATTCATTTCAAAGCGTTGCTGTATGTGTATAAGGCTGTGCATGGTCTATCACCTGACTATATTACTGATTTAATTAGTGTCTGTCAATCCAGCAGATCTCTGCGCTCAAATGAACAACTACTCCTAATGGTTCCGCGATCTCGTCTAAAATGTAGAGGGGATCGTGCTTTCTCTGTGGCAGCTCCTAGGCTCTGGAATGCCCTTCCTCTGTCTATTAGAACTTCTCCAACTTTGGGTGTTTTTCAGAGTTCGCTTAAAACTCATTTGTTTTCTCTAGCTTTTGACAATTTTTTTTTTTTTTAGCTGTGTATGATATTTGTTGTTACTATTATTATTTATGTATTTTTCTTTTTTTCTTTTATTTTACTATTATTATTTTTCATTTGTTTTTATATTATTCTTATTTTTTCCCCATTATCTTTCTCTGTACAGCACTTTGGTTCCAGTTGTGGTGTTGAAAGTGCTTTATAAATAAAGTTCGAGTTGAGTTGAGTTGAGTAATGATAAAACTAGTTCCTTTAAAGTCAGTAAGGATTTTGTGTTTTAAAATTGTGATTTATTACACTAAAAAGAAAAAAAAAGAAAAATCACACACAAAACATTCAATAATTTATTATTAAATCATCAAACCATTTGTTTAAAATTATAGTTTTAGACAATTATAGGATCTTAGACAAGTCAGACTTACAAATACTAATAGGTTCAATCACACATCTACAGATAAATCTACAATTTTCTCTCAGCTAATCTGAGACAGTCTCTCACTCTGCTTTGGGTTGAACCCGTTGTCCACTGCCTCAACAAAATGCATACCACGAAAAAGGAGAGAAATACACATTAACAAAAAAGACAGAACTAAGCGTAATGCAAAAATAATTAAAACTGTATACCTAAACTAACTTGTGTAAGTGTGACTCACTCTTGTTTGGTGTTGCGTAGCTCTTCTCTGCTGGACTGAAACTGCTCTCTCCAGTGGTGTCCCTCATCTCTGCTCTCCTCCAATTGCTGCTGAAGAGACCTTACCGTAGAGTTTACACGGTGACGCTCGGCTTCAATACTTGCCTGAGACTGAGGCACAGAGAGATAATCGCATTGTGCATATGTGCAACATAATTCCTATGCAAAGTGCTGCGAGATTAAACACTTCTTTCTAAATTGCATGATAACAGGTGTTCAGCAGGGTTCTGTCTTGGGTCCCATTTAATTTACTGTCCAACATTGGGTGTGTACCTGTGAAACCTGCTCCATGCTTGCTCGTAGTCTCTCCATGTCTTGGCTGTACTGCTCTCTGAGAGCCTCTATCTCCTTGTCATGTGTGGAGACCTCATCTTTCAAAGCCCCCTTTAGAGCAGTCAGCTCCCTCTCTCTCTGCCTCAGAATATCCTCCTGCTTCTGACACAGCGCTGCAGCTTCGGCAAACTCACCTCTCACTTGCATCAACTCCTGTACACAAACAAATCATAATTCTTTTTAATAATCTCAATACCAGCACAGCAATATCATTTTACTACTAGTAATTTGCAGTTTTTGTCTGCAGCCTAATGTGTGCAGTGCAGTAAGTGTGAATTAAATATTTTAAGGGTTTTCACAGGTTTAAAAACACTTTCAACTAAGGTGTTGATTTGTCATTACAAATCTTTTATTTGTTGCATTTGTGACCTTTTTAATCTGTCTAGAGAGTGTGAGTGTGTGCGCATGTGTGTGATCACCATGTGCATAGTGTCAGCCTGAGCTTTGATGTCTGTCTCTCTCCTCAGCTCCTCCTGTAGTCCTGCCAGCTGATCCTCCATCTCTCTAACATGAGATTCTGCATTCTCTCTGTCCATTCGTAATTGAGTTAGCCTGAGGGAGAGATAAGCAAACAAATACAACCTAGTTTAACTATACATTATTTTGCAGATTTTATATAATTCTCACCACAGATGTGTGAATGTTCATGTTGATAAACACACAATAGTGACAAAGGTATTTGTGTTTGTCTTACTCTGAATGTGTTTGGTGCAGCTCTGTATTCTTCCGTCCCAGATGTTCCTGCAGCTGTACATTTTCATCCAGACATTTCTCAAGCTCCTCCTTCAAGGAGTCATCAGATCTGTTCACCTGAAATCCGAGGGGCAACGGTTATACACCTATGCTCAATCGATGGCCACAGCCATATCACCCTGCAGCCCAAGACTGGTTGCCCACTGAAGCCAAGCAGGGTTGAGCCTGGTTAGTATCTGGATGGGAGACCTCCTGGGAAAACTAGGTTGCTGTTGGAAGAGGTGTTAGTGAGGCCAGCAGGGGGTGCACACCCTGTGGTCTGCATGAGTCATAACGCCCCAGTATAGTGATGAGGACACTATTATACTGTCAAAAAGCACCATCTTTCGGATGAGACGTTAAACCGAGGTCTTGACTCTCTGTGGTCATTAAAAATCCCATGGCACTTCTCGTAAAGAGTAGGGGTGTAACCCCTGTGTCCTGGCCAAATTGCCCCCCTGGCCTTTGTCAATCATGGCCTCCTAATAATCCCCAACCACTTGATTGGCTCTATGACTCTCTCTTCTCTCCACCTGTAGCTGGTGTGTGGTGAGCGCATTGGCGCCGTTGTCCTGTGGCTGCCGTCGCATCATCCAAGTGCACATGATTGTTAAGCGCTTTGGGTGTACAACAATACACAATAAAGCACTATATAAATGCATCATTCATTCATTCATGCTCTTAAGTATACTGTACATACCCCTTTTCTCGTAAGTTTAAGAATATTTAAAAATGAAAGGTCATAATCTTATTTAGTTGTATTTGCGTTTAACATTTTATCATTTGTTGCCCCAAGCATCAACTACTTGCAGTCATTTGTGATAGTCACTGTGGGGAAGAACTCAAATATGCAGGGCACGCTTGGGGCTTGAACCAGAAGTATGTAATTTTATTTTTAACAGGAAAGTTTGTGTAAATTATATTGACAGTACTAAATTATAACCTTACAATTATTACTTTGATTGCTGAATGATTGCTTTTAAATGATAGTTAAAATAAAATATTAAAAAAACAAAAACAAACAATACAAATTATAACTTCATTAGGACAGTACTAAATAAAAACATATTGCGGTAAATGTATGAGAAGAGCTGTGCTGTATATAACTGTGCGTCAAACAGCTTTTCAGGTAAACAAGGCATTACCAGATTATGCTCCAATTAGCTCAAAACATTATAATCCAAGTCCACCTCTATGATAGTATTTAGAAGACAGAGTAGTAATTAGTGGTTTGCTACCCCTGCTGAGACATATAGTAATATTACATATAGTAATAGGTTTGAGGATTTAATCCTGTCTAAAGATCACTATACTAAGTAATTGCTCTCAGAAAGAAACAATACAGTCCTTGCCTATAAAGCAAACAAGGAAGCACATATGAGAGTTTTAAATTATTCTCAAAAGCTCAGCATTGAAGACAAAGAATGATTAGAATAATACTACACATACACACACTACTGTTCAAGCGTTTGTGGTTAGTAAGTTTTTTAATGTTTTTGAAAGAAGTCTCTTATGCTCACCAAAGCTGCATTTATTTGGTTAAAAAACAGTTAAAAGTGTAATATTGTGAATTACTATCACATTTTAAAATAACTGTTTTCTATTTTAATATATTTTAAAATGTATTTATTCCTTATTCCTGTTTTCATCAGTCATTTCTCCAGACTTCAGTTTTACATATTTCTTCAGAAATCATTTTAACATGCTGATTTGGTGACAAAAAAATAATTTCTTATCATTATTATCAATGTCAAAAACCTAATACGTGACCCTGGACCACAAAACCAGTCATAAAGGTCAATTTCTCGAAATTGAGATTTATCCAGATATTTTGTAAAGTTCCTACCTTAAATATTAAAACTTAATTTTTGATTAGTAATATGCATTGCTAAGGACTTCATTTGGACAACTTTAAAGGTGATTTTCTCAATATTTCTATTTTTTTGCAACCTTAGATTCCTGATTTTCAAATAGTTGTATCTCGGCCAAACATTGCCCTATCCTAACAAACCATATATCAATGGGAAGCTTATTCAGCTTTCAGATTATGTATAAATCTCTATTTCAAGAAATGTTCCCTTATGTCTGGTTTTGTGGTCCAGGGTCGCATATAAGGCATTACAGGATCTGTTTTCAGTGTCTGTTTACATTTTGAATTTCTGATGGTCACTTATTAGCATTTATAATTTTATATCATTTTATTACTTTAGATTGATCTATGCTGGATCTTTTTTGTATTGTATAATTAATGAGCTTTTGTGTGGTGGAGGTAAACATTCATTCCTCCTTTCACTCTAAAATGGGCTCAGCTGTTGTAAGTGAGGTGGGATCCGCTGCCAATTCATTATAGCTTAGCAAGAGATGCCAACACCTAAAAAGCCATCAAATGTAATGCCCATTTTAGCAATGCCTGTCTGCGCACTAAATACAGTGCCAACTGAGCCTACCTCCACAGCTAGACCAGGGGATTTTATCACTAGAGTAAATCATCTCACACTGCGGACACTTGTTTATAACAGCTTTTTAAAAATGGCAGATTTATTTGCAGCTGGGTTTAGTCAAAGTCAGATCACTCTGTGGCTATCTTGGTAACACCCCAGGCAGCAATTTTCTAAGCAGATAATACAAGTACATCTTTTATGTACTTGAATAAGGAATGATGGCAATATTCTAAACGGTCTGTCAAGATTATGCCTTAATAAGAGCTTGAAAGTAACAGCAAATGAAATAAGCAATTCTATCACATATTTTGATTCTTTAGTTCAATGCACACTAAAAAGTGCATTTAAAGTAAACAAACAAGCAATATCTCTATTAAAAACACCTACTGGCTCTTATAACTGAAGGGCAGGACATTACACAATAACAGTCTCTGATTTAGTACACCTGAAACACTTTTCATAATATTAATCATTTAATATCAAAGCCTGAACAGAACATTGTGTCTTTTTTGTTTGTACAGTCACCGACTGTGCTTCAGTTCATCTGAAAAGCTGAACTGGTTGTGTCGTTCTGGTGGAAATCTTTCATTTTTTGTTACATGATCAGGTGTTGATATTTGTTTTATGTTCGAAAATTAAAATGAAGAAATAGCAATGCTTCGAAATGTGACAGACTGTACCTTCAGTCCTTGAATTTTATTACAGATGACTCGAACTCTGTGCTTAATGACACCATCTCCCTCTGTACTCCTGAAGAATTAGGAAAAACAAAATGTTACTAACTGTTACTCTGTATACTGTATATTGCTGTTACGCATCAGAACAATGGTTTACCCTTGACGTAGACCATCGTAGATTATCTGCTGTATCTGATCTTCAGTTGAGAACTCTGACCCTGAACTTTGACCCTGGTCCATCAAAAGGTCAGGAGTTACCTAAATGGAGATAACAGTTTTTTAAGCATCAAACACAACCCATATAGAAAATGTTCAAAACAACAAAGTAACATTTCTTAAACAGTCTGAAGAGTGGGCTACAATTGATACATCTGAGAAGTAACAAAAGTATGCACTCTGTCAGCTGACACCAACAAGCTAAATGACATTCAATGCCAGAGAGAATAGAGTATCAGGTTGATGAATAACTTTACTGTAACCTACTCAAATTACACTCTTTCAAAACTCTGACAGCATTTTGAAGGGATGCATTTAGACAGCAATGCAACTACCATGTTCAAGAACCAGAAAGGTAGTAAGGACATTGTTAAAATAGTCCATGTGACATCAGTGGTTCAACTGTAATTTAACGCAGCTACGAATATAGTTTTTGTGCAAAAGAAAACAAAAATAATGACTTTATTCAACAATTTCTGCTCTTATGTGTCAGACTTCGAAACACGTTTATGACAGTAACACGGTGCATGCTTATGCATTCCTCTGCTTGCAAACAAGCTGCAAATTAAGATTGAACAACTGATGCCACATGGACTATTTTAACGATGTCCTTACAACCCTTCTGGTCCTTGAACATGTCAGTTGCATTGGTTTCTATGCAGGGTCAGAAAGCTTTCGGATTTCATCAAAAATATCTTAATTTGTGTTCCGAAGATGAACGAATGTCTTACGGGTTTGGAACGACATGAGGGTTAAGTAATTAATGACAGAATTTTCATTTTTGGGTAAACTATCCCTTTAAAAGCATCAGAGGTGCACATGCAAATGCAAAGGTTCAAAATGGTACAAATGCAAAGGGTGTCCCAAAGAGCAGATCCCTTTATTGGCATGTATCCTTCACAAAGAAAAGAATGCAATCCCAAGTAAATGAGAATAAGTTGAGAAGTGTCACTTAAAAATATATTTCTTTCAAAAAGAAATAAATTGAAAAAGTATTTAAATTAGTGCTGTCAAATGATTAATCTGTGTGTACTATGTATATTTATTATGTATATATAAGACACACATACTGTATATATTTTGAAAATATTTACATGTATTACATAATTTAGTTTAATTTATAAAAAAAATAGTTTTTTATTTACCTAAAAATAAGTTAATTAGTTTAAAAAAATACTATTTTACACAACATTTGTTTATTATGTAGTTTTATTCTTAGAGAAACATAATGTTGATTTGCTAACACCAAAATCTATTGGAATCAACTGGGAGTTGAGCCTCAACATGTTCATCAGAGGAACGCAGTCTAAATAAGACAGTAATGATGTTCAGCATAATTTAGGATGCTGCCTTTTAAGACAGCGGCCTACTGTATGTAAAGCATAAAGCAATTCACTAGATTTTAAAACAAAGCCTCAGAAGGGATGTTTGCATGCATTAATTTTCATCAGTTGGAATAATTCCAATCCGATTTCAGATTCTGAAAGTTATCAACTTTGCAATCTGATTCGCATGTTCATTTACATGTACACTACAGGTATTCAGAACAAAACTTAAGCACATAGTGCCCAGTTGCCGCATTCAAGAGCTGAGAAAGTCACCAAAAACATAACGTTACCGGAGCTACCACAAGCATGATGGTAGTTTTTGCCTTAATAACACAACTCAAAAGAAAGCTGACATGTCTTTCAGAAAAGCTTTTTTAGCAAATATTTAGTAAATATTCAGTTTACTCCACTGACCAGTTTGAAAGATGAAAGACAAAAATAAACATTCATAAGACCTAGATTGATTAGATGATGATAGATTGTGGTGTTCAAGCAATCAATCAGTCTTTCTTCTAATGTTTATCTGGTTGCATGTAAACAAAGCCAGTGAACACATGATAGATGAGGCAAAGCTAAGGACATTTTATGTGAATGCAAAACTATCTAGAAACTGAGAAAATTGCCCTAGACAATATTTCTATGAAAACAAACCTGCATTTAAGAGACTGTAAAGAATACATGGTATGGAGGTCAAAAAGAAGAGAAATGATTTGTTTCCCACAGGTTCAATACTTGCTATTAATTTCTAAATTAATGTTAAACACTAAGAGTAGTGCATACTTTTAATACTGCAAACCTCTTTATTTAACCCATCACTCACATGTCCATCAACTGAAGCAGATGAAGAGACAGCCGTGACCTTGGCGACAGAACTTGAGCCGCGGCCCAGGCTGCTGTAGGCAGAAGCAGGTGAGGAAGACTGCGGTGAAGAGTATGTGTTTAGGATGAGAGATGGAGCGGGTAACGGTGAGGTTGAGGTGGGTCTGTTGTCTGCATTTGGGATGGGATAGCGCCCCTTGGTGTTGGTCCCAGTGTTACCCGCCTGTGCTGCAGAGCTGTGCAGTCTGTGGGCAGGCGTCTGACGGATGGAGTTGGGAGCTGATTGGCTGTGAGTGTGCTGGTTGTATGGAGATATTTCAACTGATTCTGATGAGGTGTAATGACTGCCTCCAGCTCTCCCTCTTCCTAAAGTGCCATTCAGCCCTGTCTGGTAGGATCCACCCCACTGATTTCTCTCCATCCTTTCTCTGGGCAGCTCCCTGTCTGCTCCCATACCAATACCTCCATCCAGGTTTCCGTAGCTACCAGAGCGTCCATCTCCAAGCGGACGTCGGAGTTGATCTGTGAAGTCTTCGCTGCCGTCTTCTCTATCCAACAGGGAGCCATGAGATTGAGCCCGACGCAGGGGGGTGTTCTCTCCAGACGAGAAATACGGCCCCTGGATTACCCCATCCTCTCTCCTCCTAACAAACAAACAGACACAATAAGAGAATTACAAAAATCAAAGATACAGATTAAACATTCTTTTCTAGCTTAAATAAAGATTAATCTATACTCAATTTATAGTTTTTGCATATACAATTTATAGTTTATGAAGATTTTAAGTTCATTATTTTTAAATGTTAAAATGAATGGCTTTCAGTTATACTGTAAATGTTGAATGGCTATAATTAATGGCAAAAAGTGAGGAAAATGCATTTAATAGAGACATCGGTAGCAATATTGGTATTAATGATACTGGCGTTCATTAATAACAGGCTACTTGGTAAAAAGATGCCATTAAACACATTAAAAAATATATACGATACTTTTATTATTTCTACATTAATTTGGAAATTCAATGTGAAATTATGACAATATAAATATATTATATTAATATGCAATCAAATCACAATTAATTACAGAAAAATGTGTAATTAATTGGTTACTTTTCTGCAACCAATCGCTAATTTCTAGATTTTAGATCTAAATGACTTAAATGTGCTTAAATACAAAAAAATTGATTTTGCCTACATATGTCTTTACAAGACACCCCTGTTTGACACCACTGTTTTAAAATGATAAGACTTACTTTCTTCTGTGGAACACAAAAGAAGATATTTTCTAGAAGGAGAATGTTGCCAACTAAACAATTTTGGTTCCCAACATTCTTCAAAATATTTTATTTTTGTTTTCAGTAGAAGAAAGAAATGCATATAGGTTTGGAATGACATGAAGGTGAGTAAATGATTACATATTTTTTACTATTAACCCATTAAGGCACTAAATTAATTTGCTTAATAATAATACTATTTATTAAGTGTCTTAAATTCATGAAGAAAATTATTCTAAAAGAATTTTAGTAAAGATACGCATATATAGGCAAGAAATATTTGTAACATTTATTTAAAGCACAGATATTTAGATAAGGTGGTTTTAAGATAATAAAAAAAATAGTGCAGCTGTCAAATGATTAATCGCGATTAATCGCATCCAAAATAAACGTTTTTGTTTACATAATATGTGTGTGAACTGTGTATATTTATTATGTATATAAAGACACACACATACAGCATATATTTTGAAAATATTTACATGTATATATTTATATTCATATACAGTCATGGCCAAAAATATCGGCACCCTTGGTAAATATGATCAAAGAAGGCTGTGAAAATTAATCTGCATTGTTTAATCCTTTTGATCTTTTATTAAAAAAATTCACAAAAATCGAACCTTTCATTGGATAATAAGAATTTCAAATGGGGGGAAATATCATTATGAAATAAATGTTTTTCTCAAATACACATTGGACACAATTATTGGCACCCCTAGAAATTCTTATGAGTAAAATATCTCTGAAGTATATTCCCATTCATATTCACAATTTTGAGCACTCCAGGGTGATTATGAACATGAAATTATCCAGCCATGGCTTCCTGTTTCACATAAATATAAATAGGAGGGAAAACAAAGCCCAAATTCCCTTAATCATCCATCACAATGAGAAAAACCAAAGAATATATTTCTGATGTGCAGCAAAAGATAATTGAGCTTCACAAATTAGTGAAGTGGCTTTAAGAAAAGAGCTAGAGCAGTGAAAATTCCCATTTCCACCATCAGGGCAATAATTAAGAATTTCCAATCAACAGAAAATGTTACGAAACTGCCTGGAAGAGGACGTGTGTTTATATCATCCTAAAGCACGGTGAGAAGGAGAGGTTGAGTGGCTAAAGACTCTCCAAGGACCACAGCTGGAGAATTGCAGAAAATAGTTGAGTCTCGGGGTCAGAAAACCTTTAAAAAAATGTCAAACAGCACCTACATCACCACGTTGTTTGGGAGGGTTTCAAGAAAAATTCTCCTAGCTCATCCAAAAACAAACTCCAGCATGTTCAGTTATCAGACATGACTGGAACTTCAAATGGGACTGGCTCCTATGGTCAGATGAAACT